ACAAAAAATGGCCTTATTTCAAAAGACAAAACGAATTCAAACAAGTTTGGTATGCTACCCAGATAAAAATATATAGGCCTATCATGCAAATTACTTTGTGCTTGGTTTCTCACGCAGGATAAATGTTTGCCTTTCAGGACGATTTTTTTAATTCACCAAATTATGGTAGACGAGATTTACATGTTGATGTGTTGGCACATCGTTCAGGATGTTATGACATTTTAAACAGTACGGAGAAGTCAGAAAGTTTTCATTTATGATAGATCATGAAATTTGATTTACCTGTCGATCCAGTGAAACTATTTTCACAGTACGGAGGAGTTCGGGGGTGGGGGGGGGGGGGGGGGTAATAAAGATCAGGTCCGATTTCAGTAATGTAGATTCACCCTGAATTTCAGAGATAACCTGAAACAATCCTCTTCACTAAAGCATACCCTTGCCATTTCAAGTTACCTGAAATTTCTATATGCTCTGGGTGCGTGGATTGGGCAGGCGGTGTAATATAAAAATATAGACTTATCAATAAAACTTATCCGTTAGCCCCAATAAACCGAAAGTTAAATGGAGCTTTCTTTTTCTTTGCCGAAAGCATACAGATACAGATACGTAACGGCATAGATTCATTTGTAACATATTTATTTTCAGTGCGTCGTAATCATTAATAAATTACACATCTTAAACGACAAAGAACCGTTTTAAATATTTTGACGGATGCTTGCAGTTTACATCTCCACAAATATAAATACATTTGAGCACAGCCTTGAACTAGTTGAAACATTGCCGGTGTAACGTAACAGAGAGTCTTCCATGATAGAGTCCGCTTGTCATTTCCTTGTACAGGTAAGCCGATCACCCTAGATTTTTACCCGCATAGGTCAGGTTAAACCTAACCATTATAACTAAATGGAGGGGAACTCTCTGTTTCACTGGTCCCTATTCAGGGCCATGTTATATATGCAACTGTCCTCACTACACGATGGTCACCATAATAATTTAACGAAGCAACTGCATTAAGTGGCATGCAACGTGTAAGATATAAACAGAATGTAAAGGTCTTTATTCTAAATATAAATCTATTTTAAATCTATTTTTAATGCTCAAAAGTCGAATTGTCGTAGAAGGGAGTGCGAGTTACCAGGCTTTCACCTTTCCGGTGAAGAAACAAAAAGAAAAAAGTTGGTGATTGTGAGAAAGCAATTGGAATTCGCGTATGTATTTTGATAGTTTAAGTTAACTTCTGTGTGGATTTCTTGTTGCTATGTGGACTACTTGTTAATTTTTTATATTAAATTATTTTTCATTTTAGTTTCTATGTTGCTTCATGTGCATAATATGATAATCACTTGGTCTACAATAGATACAATACAATAGAAGCTGTACATGTTTTACAACATTTCATTTTTTTCTAATAAAAAGGGGATAGCTAACAAACTTTCCGGTTTAGCTTGGACATAATAATGTTATTATGTCCAAGGGTTTAGTAAAAGGGCATTACCAAATTCGCAATTAGCTTTCTCCACCCACGTCCCACACTCCGTAATACAGCCTCGCAGTGAAAATCGTTCACCTGCTACAATCTCCCCGTCTCCAGTAGCAATGGGAGAAGTTTGTGCTACTTCAAAACAATACGGTTCAAGAGATAAAGTTTCTTGTTCAAATCAACTAACATTATCTTAGAAATTAACTTAATTACATTTGGGGATATATGGCGGACACGCCTGTTTATCAATTCTATTATAGAAACCAACGGTTTAAATTATTTTATCTCGCTAGTTTTAATTTTTAGCATATCATTTAAATAATAAAACCACAGCACTGAGTCTAAAAACCACAGAGAGCGACTTTAAAATAACACACTAATCTTCCATAATGAAAGAAGATCGAAATCGTATAGAGACTTTTAAAGGAATTTAATAAACGATCAGATTATAAGGTCTAAAAAGTGTTGTGTTTCTTGTCAGAAAAAAAGAGAGAAGAAAATGGTGCGGTGGTGCATTTTTTCCTCTTTCTTTTCTATTTTTATCATATACATTCAGTCTAGTTCCTCACAATTCAGGTAACGTCTTGGATGTTTTCCTAAATGATTGATTATATCTAAACTTTTATTCATTAGAAATAATAGATAAAATATAAAAACATGTAAAATGAAATAGAAATAAACACGTTAACTTATCAGCACCAGCATAATATGGGCAGCCGCCAAACACTGCAAGCACAGCTGCACGTTGTTCAATATTAGTTAACGCTATGCGTTCATGATATGGGAAATGTGCGTGGGTCTTGGTGGGGGGTTTCAAGTGACGCGCGTGGCTACAAGAAACATTATGCCTTTTTTCCTCGACTTCAAATGTTTTTTTTTTTTTTTTTTTCAAAATTTTGGTAAATTAAGTTAATACATTTAATGGTTTAAGTATTAACTTTAGTAAAAAAAATATTAATCCATCCTATTTATTTGTTATGTTTAATAGTTATTTTCTAGAAATTTCATTTATTTTCTTATTCACATCTGGTAGTTCCAATGGACGAAGCGGTTAGCTTTAGCCGTGCCAGTTTGGCACACAACTATAACAATACCTTTAAATCTTACAGCTTTGTTTGACTATCATTTATATGAAAAAAATGTGTTCCTTAATTTAATGACACTCCTCCTTGAGTTACTTTTTTCTATGGCAACACACGTGGGAGGAGTTGTCTAGGATCAATCAAGGGCAGATCGTTAGTAGGCGACACAACAAGATTGAAGCTACTCATACGGTACTTTTCTTTCTTTTTGTAGTAGAATAGAAAATCCTATTTTTTGTACAGAAAAAATTATTTTCGTGCATGAGGTTGTGTAATCTAACAGACTTTCCTAAGCCGTGTACCTCTTTTCAGTGAAAAAAAAAAGAAAAAATGCAAGTGAAATTTCAATCAAATACTTCCTCCCATGGTATTTTTTAAAATATTTTCAGTTAACAGATAAAATTGCATTTTTAATTTATTACAACGTTTACGATAGGGTTTAGGAACCTCGGTGGTTGATTTATGACGAACACGAGGCTTGCATCAATGTCACTAATGTGCCCTTCTAAAACATCTTACATGTCAGTACGAATCGTCCCCTTTCTAGTGCTCATACTACATGTATATCTGATATGTTTTAACCACACGCACAATGTATCTAGAGGAAAGAAAATTTCGCATTGTTCATCTTTTGTCTTGTACCTTAATTTCATTTTTATAGGGATTTTTAAATTTCTGCTTGCCTCAGACTGATGTTAACACAACACCACACGTTACCCACATGAGTGCGAAAGATTTAGTAAGAAAAACCTTCGTCAGACGTTGAAAATCATCAAGACGCTCCGATGAAGATTAAACGAACCACGTATCACCTTTTAATATCGAGAATTAGGTCAGGGCCATAGACTTTTAAAAAAATGATCACGTTACGAGATGTTAATAGTCCAATGCTAAACAGGTACACGTAGCTATTCTGTTGATTTATGCTTATGTGGACAGCATACACAGCAAGCAGTCGTATGGAATAAGGGAAGAGATCAAAACAGTCATCTGTAGCATCGTGCACCTCACATCTTCTAGATTAATCTTGCAGTATTCACAGGGAACTCATTTTGCAAGAACATTTATCTGTTCAATAATTGTAGCATTATTCACTTAACAAGCATTTTTATCTGACTTGTTAGTGATTCCAGACATTTTTCTTTTCCTACTAAATATTACTGAACGTTTGGAACGGTATGCCAACTAAACGTACCGCCCATTCAAAATTAGCGTCTCCTGTTTATTAAGCTTCTAGTGAAGCTTCTATGAAGTGTTGGAATATTTCAAAATATAGAATAAATAAAAATTATAAATTAGGACAAAACATGGATAAAAATATAAAACAAACGGGGGCAATTTTATAATAATATACAGGGAACAGGTACAAAAATCGCTTGGTTATGCCTCATTTTGCATCTGCAACGCTCAAGAATATACCGGTAATAAACCAGTGACATGAATCATGCGCCATTTTCCATTGTTCGAAGATTTTGTCTGCCATCACATTAATTTGAAAGACATTCTCGTACAAGCATTAACCTTTATACGTAATACTTGAACATTTGCTACATTATTTGTGGCTTACACGGGAAGCGCACAGCCAAGCAAGACATCTTGAGGAAGGTATTCAGTTTAAAGTAATAGATCTCAAACTTGTTGGGGGTTTTCACTTCAGAGGGTAACTGGTGAACTGGTGAACTCAATCACACTGATGGGTTGATACAGGTAAACGTAAAACGTCATTTTCATATCCAGGCCACTAGTTTCAAATGGCTGATCAAGGGTGTGTGTTTGTCGTAGTGGTGGTGATGAGGGGGGGGGGGCTTCAGATGTAGGCCTACCACCAAATTCTTCCTCCCCTCTCCCTCACAAGTAAAAGGGAGGTCCTCAGCATGACGTGATCAGAGAAAAGTGAGTCGTTTGTCGCGCCCGTTTCTCAGTCTTTACCTTGTGCTTGACCAAACCGGCCATACAGACTTCTTTATAAAGTTGCTATTTCTTCTTGCAGGTGAGCTGGCTATTAATTATCTAAAACATTACGAACTAACATCTTCATTTGCCAACACACATCCTTATTTAATTAGTTATTTCAATAAACAAGAATGCTTATTTTAATTATGCTATTAAAAGCAGTGGCGGATTTAGAGGGGGGGGTCAGGGGGTCTATGAGATGTGTTTCACTTGTAAAAACACTGGCGTAACTGCGTAACGTCATTAGCTTGTATGAGTAACAGCATTATCTCATGTATTTGTACATTATCTAAATGGGAGAGGAAAAATCCTAAAGTATCGACCCCCCCCCCCCCCCACACACACACACACTCACACACTTGACAGCCAACGTCCTCTTAATGGGGTAGTTCCATATATTTATTTTCATAGCACTTAGTTGATTTATTTGCTTATTCGTTCGTTATTTTTAAAAACTGAACTGTTGGTTGCACCTCTTATTCCAGGATGTCTGACTACTCCAAATGGCTCATGTATGCCGGTGCTGCTGGTGCCATCGGCTTGAGTCTAGCAGTGGGATACTGGAGAGGTATTTTAACATAAATGATTTTGTTTTACACAAGGAGAATCACGTACAAATCACTCAAACCCGCGATAAGAATATATAAATGACTAGGTCAGATGACAAAAAAATGAAGTTTTGTGTTGCCTCTCTGATTTGGTATAAAAGTGCAGTGCCATATTGACGTGATATCTTCCCGTGTTTTGGACACACACACACGCCTCACAGCATTAATGTAAGTTTATGTGGATAATTGGCATACGACGAACCGGAGCTTCTCTTACTTCTATTGCACTTCGCAGAGCTTACCATCTGGCTTTACTAAACACTTTTCTTTGATTTCCTACAATTATTATAAATTCATTTGAAGTTACAAACTTAAAAAATCAGAACTTAAAAAGGGGGCCTTGTTTATGCTTTAAGACTGAAAATTCGCTTTTCCGTTTTCAGGTTGCATGTCTTTACAACCCGATATCATCGTGAAAAGTCTCGTCAGTTTACGCAAGTCCCATCTTCATAAAGATAAAGTGATAAAATATATTGAAAACAATTCATTTCGTCTTCTCCAAGTACAACGGAAATTGATTGAGGTACGGAACTTTTGATTTTTTATTTAAAGATGCTAATTTCTTTACCATTTACCACTCTTTCTGAAATTCATTTTTGCTTTTAAACATGGGTAAATCACGTTTTGAAAGGTTTTTTTTTTTTTAATTGTGAGAATCAAGTATCTCTATCTTTTTTTTCTTCATTTCAGAATTTAAATATTAAATTTGATCATGATGCCCAAATGACTTCGCTCGTGCCACGTATAATTCTGATTCATATCTATTTTAGGTAACAATGAAACACCCAAGTCGCATAATGCTGGGCAGCACAGATGAACTTCAACTTTTGCAAAATTTAGTTTCTCTAATAAAAGGAAGGAAAACATTGGACATTGGTTAATTTTAATTCCCTTATTTTTCAATATTTTCTTTCTTTGGTTGACCATTGGATACTAAATTGTATTATTTAATCTATCTTTTGGGGTATAAATTGGTCATTGATTTGAATTTCAAGCAATCGTAAAGATATGGTTTTTAAAACACCAGAAAACATATTGAAACGATCGCGAATGAGGTTTCTTTCTCCTTTTTTAGGAGTGTTCACAGGTTATAGTGCATTGGCTATAGCACTAGTACTTCCTGAAGATGGAAAGGTAGTGGCCTGTGATGTCAGTGAGGAATTCGCAAGAATAGGGAAACCATTTTGGAAAGAGGTTGGGTAGACCGCATGCTAATCTTGAACAAACAATTCCATGCGCGGACACGCGCCCACACACACAAATTTGCTTGCACGTGCAAAATGGAAATAGCTTCTGCTGTTTATTTTAATATTATAATAGGCTCTTTCCACAAAACAGTAAAAAAAACAGCAATTAATTTCGTTAAAACACTCAATATTTGAAAAGCAGAAAAGAGGAATAAGCCTGAATGTCATTAATTTTTTTAATGCTTTCAAAATGCTATAGATGTTCTATCCCATACGTTTTAGGAAAATCTAAATGAATTTCAGGAGTTGTAGTTATTAACAACGCGTAGTAAATGTGCCCTTTAAGAAATCTTAGTGTTTGATATTCTGTTTGTTTGGTGATTCTCGTGATACCAGTTTTAGTTTTTTGTCACAATTTTAGTCACACCCAATTGTCCAATCATTTCCACTTTATTTACTATTAGCTCAGGAAGTAAAACTTGCAACCTTATTTTTGTTCTAGGCAGGAGTAGATCATAAAATTGACCTCAGGATTGCACCAGCTCTGGAAACTCTACGTAAGTTAGAGAAGAAATACTTTAAAAAATACGAAAAAATTGCGTAGTAATATCTTTCAAATTTGTTGAGAATGACCCAGATCTAGCCATTATTAATATCCGAGTTACCGGTATGCATTATAGCTACGAAAACGTGTTGATGATTAAATTTTTGGTATATCGCAAGTTCGCCGCAAATTTTATCATAGAATTTGTAATCTCTATAAACTTTATTCCATGTACGTCATAATAATTCACAAAAGAACTTCAAAACATACAGTAACGCATCCATAACATTTACATGTACATATACACGCGAATTGCCCTACTTACGATTCACCGAAACGTATCCCCAACGTAACTCGGAGTTACAACAAAAAGACATTAATGAATGCGATAATTCATGGGTATAGAGACCTGGTTTGACTTTTAGTTTTAAAGGTTGTCAAATAGACTTGAACTCTGCAGTTGTAATATTAATTTTAGAGAAGTTGGTGGATGCAGGAGAAAGTGGAACATTTGATTTTGCCTTCATTGACGCTGATAAAGAAAACTACCTGAAATACTATACACTTTGTATGACCTTGGTGCGGTCCGGTGGGATTATTGCTATCGATAACGTATGTATGATTTTTTTTTTTGGTCAGTCAAATCCATAAAATGCTGGGAGGCAATACAACTTGACCAGCAAAATGAAATAAAGAGCTTTTGCTATTTCAAGAAAAATCCTTTCAAGTCACTCATTTTAATAAATGTATTTTCCTCACATTGAAATCTTTTAGTTAGATAGTTTTGACTGGATGTTGCATCTTGTCATCTTTTTTATCCAAGCTTTCCAAATGCTCTTGAGTTGATTAATTAGCTTAATAACATACAATAATGTTTCACAGGTTTTACTGGGAGACAGTGTTGCAGATCCTGAAATAGTACACGCAAAGACACTGGCGATACGTGAGCTGAATCAATACGTTTATGCTGACCAGCGTGTGAACATCAGCATGTTAAATATCGCAGATGGTGTGACTCTGTGTTTTAAGAAATAATAGATTAACTTTGAACATCAGTTGCCATATCTTGCTGCTTTGCCTTTTGCGTTTTGTAGTTGAGGCTATTTTTAAGATAAGATATGGGAGTGAACGACAATTCTACAGTCAGTAAATTGTTTCTTATGTGGATTGAACATGATTATGTTTTTGATGACGTCAGGGAGGTAATTATGTAGTTTTATCACATCGCAAATCGCCAAATATAAGATCTTATACTATGCCAAATATATAACAATATAAATATATTTCATGTATCTACCGGTCAGTGTGATAACAGAGCGAGTGCACAAGTTACCCGCTGAGGTAAAAACACCCAGTTTGAGATTTTATTTAAAACAGGCTTTGTTTCTATGTCTCTTTTGCGATCCAGCAACAGTAGCAAGAGTTTGGGTGGAGTCATACTCCCAAAATTGACAGCAGATACCTATACAAATATGGAATTTCATGCGAAGATGCCCCGAACGTTCTATGAAGTATCTTAACATACGATATCTACAGAAAGTTACACAATAGCTCCCAAACCGCACAAGGAGGTAACGTGGAAATAATAGTTTTATAGTAGTTTTTACCCGCAGGAATACAAGAAGATTACATGAAGTTACAGACCATTCTGCTTAGTAGTGGTGCTCAGGAGTGACTGACAGGAAGATGCTCTGAGGTTTGCTTGATATATATCCGATATGTCCCTGTAGTCATGAGAAAATGCCTCTCGGAATAAACGCTGTGAGTGCCACAGGTGGTCTAGCGTCCATTTCGAGATCCATTCTCTCGTGTCTGACGATATTCATAAGTCGTTTGTTATAGTAACAAAAATCTTTCTTTTTTACTGAAATTATAAATGCGACTTTTATCACAATTGTGTTGGAAAAGATGAGATATATGGACAATTTATCCCCTCAGGAATGCAACTCTGGCTGGTCGCAAGCAAAGGACTATGAAATGGACATCATGGCAGATGTCGGCTGTGCGTGTATATTTCACCAAACACAGCAGGGCAAACGGTCACGTTGCTGTTCTATGCTATTTGGGTTTATTCAGTGGACCAGATACACTTCTGGCAGGGGCGTAACCAGGCATACGCACGGATGCACTGTGCGTACAATTTTTTGAGCCAACCATGATACTATTCTCCATAAATTCAGTGTATTTTTCACGGAATATAATCGTACCTGGGAATTTTCAAAATCTGTGCGTACAATTTTAAATTGTCTCGTTACGCCCCTGTCTGGGTCGTGTTTTCTAGCAAATTACATATGCAATTATTAACCAAAAGAAAGAGGCAATCATTATAATTTTGTTTGGAAAACTTGTGGACAGTTTGATCAAGTAAGTGCTGCATTTGGAATAGTTCTATCTTCTATGCAGTGTTTCACTAGACAATGGTGAAGGGAGTGAACCCCAGCAACAGACTGCGGGTGAAATGAACAAATGGGGTATAACAGCGCTGAGGGTCTGTCGCTAGATGGCGTGGGGGTGAAAGCAGTCCTTCTAAAATCTCGCAGAATCTCGCTTGTTATTGTATACATTATTGTAACTGGCGAAAATTTGTGCAGGGCGACAAATTGTGCCATCAATGCAGGGGCGGATTTAGGCCGTCTTCTGGGTCTTCCAGAAGACGGTCAGATTTTCAATTTTACATTGACGGGTATCCAATTTTTAATGTTGGAAGACGGTCAAAATTGGAGGATGAATCAACAAAGATAATTTGGAAGACTGTCAGTATATAGCTCTGGATCCGCCCCTGCAATGCCTACACAATTTATCGCCACCGAAAGACGACAATTTGTACAGCCCCTGCACAATGAGACGTTTTTCCATATGGCAGACCCCATAATTTCCTGTGATTTACAGCAACATGTACATCTGCCTTCCTGGTACATCCACGATGCATATATACCGGGCAAGGCTTCGTTTTCAGTGTATGACATTGTGCACTCTTGAGTATGGACGCGGTTTATAAAAAATTCATTATCTTTTATATAGAAAAAGGCCGAGGATGGTGTTTGGGTGGGGTGGAGAATTCCTTCTTCAAGATTGGATATTTACTTCGTTATGCTTAAACTTTTTCAGTTAATTAGCAGTAATACTCGTATAATATATAAAACGAATATACAGTATTCAAGGGAACATTCAATCAAATACTTTTTTCTTGTGGTATTTTAAAAATTATTTCTTCTGTTAGAATATTAACGTTTTATTACTTATTCCAATATCAATATGTATATATGTATATATATATATATATATATATATATATATATTCATGCGGCATAAAAATGGGCGCCCCCCCCCCCCCTTCCACACGCATCCAGCTTTAGAATAATGTGACAGGAAAAAAGTAACGGAGTAAGCTCCCCGTTCCCCAACCTTCATCCACCCAACTCTATCGTTTGCTGGTTCATATCCCGCATTTCTCTACAGCGAAACAGTTAACGCGGTCTGCAACATTTTAGGGAGAAACAGATGAAATATAGATTCTGTCATAATGTCTGCAAAGTTTAAGTTGAAAATCTGACAAAGTTTATTAGTTTTAGCCTTTAACAATTTTCCATTATACTGTGCTTGAAGTGGTTCCAAGAGTCCCAAATATTTTACTGGCATCTTGATCATTTTTCTCTTGCGTGCTCCCCCCCCCCCCAAAAAAAAACCGTCCATACACAAAAATCGATAATCGTATGGCATTTTTATACAGGCAATTGACCTACTTTGGGAAAGTGCAGTTATCAGCGCTTTTTAACAATTTTATGACTTGGGCTTGGAGACGTGGTTCACGTCTGTGTTACGAAAGGTTTTTTTTTTTTTACAATGATGTGATTAATAAACAGTGCGTATCGATCAGATCTTTCAAAGTTTTTTTAGCATAAAGGGGCACTGCGCTTCAAGGATAACGGGAAATGTGTACACAACTCAAAATCAAGAAAAATACTGCATTTTTCTCTTATATGCAAATTAAATTGCCTTGAGTTATAAACTGGCCGGAAGTGATANTCACTCTCGAGAAATAGGAGAAAGTTATCAGAAGTAGATTAATATATTTTAAATTTAAGATTATTAAATTTAGCCTGTAAAAGTACAAAGCTGAAAATGATTTGAACTTGCACTTTTGAAAGCTATTGAACAAAATGTTACATGAACCAAAGCAAATTGTCTGATTTTCTTATACCTACTTCTACACTCACAAATGAATGACATCCAAAGAAAACGGTATTTGCACTGACCAAGACCCCAACCAACTATATGGCATCATTCTCAACTAGAATTTATTTAATTAAATCACTTCATTTTCACTTGCACATTGTATTTCTACAATATTGTTTTTAATTAATTGCCGAAATGACTGTCTTTATTTGATGGAGGTCTTATCTTGGCTTGAAAAGGAAAAAAATCCTATTTGCTTGTCTTGATCGCCTTGGTTAGATTTGGTGCAAGTTTTCGGTACGTGAAGGTTGACGATGTGCTATTTCCACGGGCATTTCACACATTTAATAGATTTTAAACTGGTAAAGTAAAATGGGTGCTAGTATAATACTTGTGTTGAAGGAATGTACATCTCTTGGCCTGGAAATGGTTTAAAGTTGATTGGAATTGCAACTAAATTGTTATCCAAGAGGATTTCATGTGCTGTGTTTTCTTTTCAAACAGTCACAATGTAGATGTTGATAACTAAATCAATTTTTTAATACATTTTCATTTTCAGTGGGTTTTTTAAATTTGGAGGGAATACTTGGTAATTGAAGGAAAAATAATTATAAGTGAATACTTATTAAGATAAAAAAATACCTGTTAATCTATTAAAGATAATATTAACTTCATTTTCATTGTTACATATCATCAACACATAAAAATAGTTTTAAACAGTTCATTGAGTGATATCAAAATGAGTAAAAACAGACAATATATTGTTTAAAACAAAAGAAATGATTTTATTTTTTGTTATGGAAATAACAATGTGCAGCAATACTGTAGCTTACTCAAAGCAGCCAGGTTTTGCTTTAAAAATAATAACATATCTAAAACAAGGCAATTATTTTTTAGGATTTAGTAACAAATTATTTCTTTGTAAATCTGAAAATCTTATTTATCTTCATCAATCTGCTAATAAAAAATAATTAAAAATTAATAAATGCAGAATCTCAAATTCTAAGGTCCCCTTATTTGAAACAATAATCATAAAGGCCAATAGCAATTCAAAATGATGCTGTACCATACTGACATGCCATATTAACAAATTAATACAGGGGCGGATCCAGACTTATTTTCTGACAGTCTTCCAATTTATCTTTGTTGATCCATCCTCCATTTTTGACCGTCTTCCGACAGAAAAAAATAGATACCCGTCAATGTAAACTTGAAAATCCGACCGTCTTCCGGAAGACCCAGAAGACGCCCTAAATCCGCCCCTGTAATATGCCTCTGGTTTACAATATACTCGTATAATCACCACCTTTTCTAAATTCTACTTGGAGCTAGAACAAAGGGGGCTAATCTCTTCATCTGATTGCATTTAGCAAGTTTTCCTGTTGAGTTGGATCAATCTACATATAGACTGATAGTTTGGGAAAGAGCCTGAAGAGATAGTAAACTTTTCCCACCAAACAATTAGAATATGTAGTTAACATTTAACACTGATATTTATTTCATGTATGATATCCTCTGCCCATTTCAGAAAGACTAAAGACCACAAGGCCAGTACTTTTTAATTTTCCAACCACGTTTTAAAGCAGTGATCTCACATTTCAGGGATATGCAGTGTAAATGCTAGGCCTGCCTCTGCTGACTGCTCTTCTCACATATATATATATATATATATATATATATATATATATATATATATATATATATATATCATCATCATCATTTCAAAATATCACCATATGCTAAAAACATCTGAGTTCTTCTAAAATATTTTGTTGCTTTACCACAATATTAGTTCTATAAAATTTCTATAAAACTTTTGTTGCTTTGAACAATATTAGTTCTATAAAATCAAACAATACTGGTTATATAAAATCAAGTAAGTAAACTTCACTTCCTAATCAATTTTAAGTTGACATCAAAGAGAAGAGGAGAAATGCTTTAGAAAGAACAACAGAAATTTCTCACTTCTAACATTCTGTGAACAGTGTACTTAGAGGGAAGATGCTTCTTCATGGTTCCCTAAACCAAAGAACAGACACAGTTCCTATGATCTCATAATTCAACATTGTTTTACTCTAGAATACCATAAGGCGTCACCTTAAACTTCCTGAAAAAGTAAAATATCTGAACTGACATTTTCTGCTTTTTTTTCTTCTGTGCAATATATAACCCTTGGTCATTTCCACCTTTCATTTGAATATTTGTTTTTGAGTGAGCAGCAGTTATGCCTCTTATATTACTGCCTCATTTCTGATTTGGCAGACTTTGATGAACTAGTAGGAAAGATTAATAGGTCAAGTCCCTGTCCAGAAATCTAAAGATGGTGCAGTTTTTTGTTTTATTTTTAGTTATTTTTTTTTGCTGATCAAGTAATTAATTTCATTTATCTTGTTGCATGTACACTTTATTTGAGTCATATAAGAGGTAAATAGGAGTGATTCTTGTGCGTAACAGGAAATCTTTGCTCACTCCATATATAACTTAAAGCTTTCCTCAACACCCGATTATATTTCACTGTCTTTAAGTGTTACTTGCATAGTGCATCTGGAAAAAACAGTTTTCAACTTATTTTCAGTGTACCAGTTTAAGTTCTACTACTCAAATCAATACTCTAATACTGAAATAAGTGCAAGTGTCTTAATCGTTCATTCAGTCTTCTTTTTTAGAGAAAATAAATTTCTTCGAATGAAAAAAAATGATAAGCATCTCATATATGTCTTTCCTGAGATTTGAGTGCAGAAATATCCCTGTCCATCAAAATCAACAGTCACTTCCTTCACAATCACAACCATCTCATCTGGCACAATCATGACTGTCTCAGCTGCCACAATTTCTTCTACAGCTATAACTTGGACATCTTCTTTTTGTAGGAATCATTTAAATTTTCAAAACTTCCATGTTTTCCTGCTCCTTCCATAAACCTTTGAGCACCTACAGAGTGAAATGAAAGCATTTTCAACTGCAATTATGTAATCTCTCTCTGTATGTGTGTGCGAGTGTGTGTGTGTATGTGTGTGTGCAAGTGTGTTGTTCAATTTAATAGTCTACATTTCTAAGTGTAATCAAATGCGTGTGTACATATCTAAAAGTCTACATTTCCAAGTGTAATCAAACAGCCTATAGAGAAAGTCGAAAATTAGGATGGTCATCCCATCTTCAATGTCAACATCCCTTTGACCCAATGTGTTTTCCATGCATTTCTATTTTACTTGTCCACAGCAGTTTACGACAGGGTGAAAAAATAATTTTCAAAATTCTCTTGCCACTTACTCCCAAACCATATACCACCTAACATGTACTCAGTTCAGTATTCAGATCTTGCGACTCATTTTCTCAGGTAAAACCCCTAAATAAATTACTCTTAAAAGAACCCATTAACTCTGGTTAAATTTACAGAAAAATGACTGTACCTTTTATTGCCTCGTGGTTGATAACCCCACTCCCGTTGTAATACTCAAACTGCACCGCATCAAAGAACCTCTTGGCATCAAATGTCGCGTGGTGTGCAGACTGTCTGTCTGCTATCATGCACTCCTGAGGGTAACCTGCTATCTGCTGAGCTAGATCTATGGCAGCTTCCAGAGCTTAAAAAAAGGAAAAAGAAAAATGATCAACTATTCAAGAAGCCTCTGGTTCATTTTACAACTATTATGTTATTTAATACTATTAATTTTTCATCAATACTTTTAAAACACGTCTTTTCTTACATATTGATGAATTTAAAATCTAGAATGGTTAGACACCTGAAGGACATCTCAACAGGGGTGACCTTTTAAGAATGAAAGTTTTGTCAAAATACAGTTTCATCTATTAAGTACAATATACTTATTTCAACAGAATTTTGCAATATTCATTATTTTTTTGATTAAAAAAATCTTATTATAATTAATACAAAATCTATAGTTACATTCATCCACATACTACTTCTGAGCACAAATATCAATTTATGTCACCTAAGATATGATAACAAACCAAGAGAGAGAGAGTGATGGGGGGATGGAAGAGGAGAAAAGGAAAATAAACCCCTTGCAGGTTATTCATTGAAGTAATCACTATACAATCATTCTCTATAGCTTTAAGGATCCTATTAATCCTCACCTTTCCCATTCTGCACCAGTCTGTTGGCCAGTCCTATGTTGTACGCCTCTGTCGCAGGACATGGCCGCCCTGTCAAGATGAGGTCCATCGCCCTGGAGAACCCGACCAACTGGGGAAGACGCACAGTGCCGCCATCTATCAGTGGGACACCTAAAATAACCAAACACTGCAATACAAAACAGCTATAACCTTCTCCTGGAACTTCCATACACAAGGACAGAGACAAGCTATATTACATTTGGCATAAAAAGAAACCCACAACAGGTGCAGTTATGTGATAAAACAGCCATACATCAAGTCTTCAGTACATCAACAATCCCTAAAACATACCTCAAGTACCAAGTGATGAATGAAATGCAGTCAAATGGAACTAACATTCATATACTAATTATGTCCATAAAATGCAATTACACTGTTAGTACTGTATTGTCCCACCAGGGAGATTAACCTCATTCTAGCTGGAAGAGCCTTGAGGCAGGTCAGGAGTAAAACCATGTTTACTGCCAACACTTACACTTTTGGCACAAACTAGCAGTTCACTGACCACATGTGACTTACCAAATCGTCTACAATAGACCCCAAACACGGCAGAATGGTCCACAATTCTGAGATCACACATCATGGCCAACTCCATGCCTCCAGCCACAGCAAAGCCTTCCACAGCCGCTATCACAGGCTTGGTCAACACCATACGACTTGGACCCTGAAGACAGGATAACAAGTAGCTAAATAAAATGGTGTTTGTCAGTTTATCATATCCCCCTACTGTACCAACATAAAGCATATTAATTTAAACTTTTGTCATTATAATTACTTCACTTGCTGGAGGTAAACAACATTTTCAATACTGAATGTGCTGTTACCATGGATATGGTTTTGTTTACAGTAATTTGTTTACTATGCTGTTACCATGGGTCCTGTGCCTCTACTCTCAGGGTCAGGTAAAAGCTGCTGGGGATCCCGCTGAGACACCTCCTCTAGGTCTGCACCAGCACAGAAGTGACCACCTAGGACAGATAACAAAAACTGTGAGACAATGACTTCATTTGAGTCATAAATAAGGTGACCAATGAAATAGAAATGGTATTTTATACAAAAATAGTTAAATCAAAAGTTGGTCAATGAAATAGAATATGGTATTTTATACACAAGGTTGACAAAATGCCCTTTAATTTTAAATCAATTAAAATAATATTTATTTTTGCTCAAGTTATTTCTTCTAAGGTTTTAAAACCAATTTTTAATCTCCACTAACCAAGGATTCAGTGGTGGTAGATGTAGATCTTTCACAAAAATGAGAATATTGAATCCATTAAAAAAGTGAAAAATGGCAAAGGTTGCCAACAATGTGACAAATACAACTGTTATAAAATGAAATCAAAATAGTCTCTTTCAGTTAACATAGATATACTTCCAATCCTATATAGTTAAGTGATTATCGAGACACTTTCATCTGGGAATGGAAAACAAAACAACTCTTAATGCATGCAATGTTTTTCAATAAGAGAGCACAGATATTTTGAAACATGGCAAATCCAACTCTCCTTGGCTTTCTTTATCACTGATTTCCACATACCTATTTTTATATCATTCTTAACAATTTTTTTTCAATATTGCAAGAGAGAGTAAAAGAGAGTAAGAGTAAAATTCTGAACTGAAAAAACTGACGTTTTGCCAAGCTGTAATACTTGCCAACAGTCAAAATTTGAAAAACTAAATAAAAGAAAAAAATTTATTAACGTCCTACCCCGGCCATGGAGGACAGCCACATGAGCGCTGTCGTCATTCAGGAATGCATCCATTGCTCTGGTCAGCTGACTTGCCATTTTGGCATTGACGGCATTTCGCTTTTCTGGCCGATTGAGGTGAATAATGACCACCGGACCTCGTCTCTCTGTCTCTATAAAATTAGAACCTGGAAATAAGGAATAACAATTCATTAATATTTCAGTATCTTTTCTCTTTTACCCCATCACTGGGGCAAGGCTTACACATGCCAATTCAGCCAAATACTAAAACTGAATTCAATTGGCTTAAGAAAATTCTTTTTTAAAAGTGCATTGTTTTCCTTGAAGTTTCCTCTTCCCATACAAAGAGGACAGTCACTGTTTTGTTTTTTCATGGCCACACTGTAGAATTCTTGTGCATTGTTAACAACCGCCTCTCCTTTTAGTATTTCTCTCCACATGCTCCTCTTCATCTCTCCTCCAATCCCATCTATTGCTCCCTTCCCGTGTGCAGTTGCAAAAAAACTCCAGTCACATGTACAACTAAAATCCTCCTCATGAAAAAGAAGGTTGCTGAAATTGTTTTTGTTTTTAAACTGTGAACCTGCACTGTCTGACCAATAGTGCATGTGTTTAATTTCCCAAGGCAGTTTTTGACTAATAGTAATGTCATCTATGATGCTCTTATTACAAGCTTTAGCACTGTTTGTCATGTCTGAGCTCATACGAAATTATACTGTAGAATGTATGTTGGAGGTGTGAGTTGTCATCTGGTTTGTAATAGACAATGGCAGTGAATACAGTTAGTTGCTCAAAGCACCAATGTGCAGACTTTATTTCTCCTTGCTGCTAAATAGCATAATTTTCTGCAAAATCTTCATGAATAATAATATGTCCTGGTTTCAGAGTACACTTGAGTATCTGCCTTTTTGTATCGTATTCATGGCCAGAGAGTTGTTGCAGTTGCTGATAAAGTTCACATTTTGCTGATTCTAAATCACCTTGGATGGGCGTCCTCTGCACCTTTCCAGTGGTTGTTCTCCACTGATAGTAGAGAATTTCTTACATGATAAGTCAGCTTCTTCAAAATAGTCATCTAACAGCTCTACACAACACAAGTGATTGTTGCTTGACAACACTGTTGTGTTGCTGTCTTGCAAAGCGTATGAGAAAGAACATCCTCACACTTGGAGGGAAATGACGGTACAGCGCGGTGAATGGCAGTGATGAGAAGGGAAGCATTTTCTTGACATTTGCAGGAACACGCTTCATGATCGTTTTCAGTCAGAGGGAGAACATATGGTGGTCTTAGCTCTGAAATTTTGGACTTCCTCACTGGATGATCTGGATGTTCTAGGGTACAGTAGATGTCATGGGCTTCATGGATGTTCATAATCATTATTCTTTTCTGCTTTCTTACTTTTCCATACGGCAGTTTCACAGTGATACAATCCTTTCCTGGGCACATTCTGCTGACATCATCCCGTAGGTAAAAGTTTTGAATGTTGGCCACAGTTTCCTCTGAGAGCTTGTCCGTTCTTTCCTTTCTTTGCAGATTATTGTCATCTACGTAGTCTCTTTTTTGCATATTTGGGGAGTTAGCTTGTTCATTAAACACCTGCTGTCTCTTAGGTATCATTTCTTTGTAGATTTTAGCTAATACTGTGGCACATTTGTCCTTCCCAGATGATTTTGGTTCCTATTGTTGGAAGTTTTCTCAGAAATTACGAAAGATAAAAACTTTTTACTTCATATTCTCCTCAAACATGATGTGTGTAAACAATCTATAAAAAATTTGACTTGTGGGTTATTAAATCAAAATTAATAAACTGTTATGGAAGGACATTTCAATATTAAATCCATTATTTTCTAATCGAATAAATTTTAATGTAATGCACTTGGCTTTATGTAAGAAATAACTTATATTTAATGTCTTTAGCCTTTATTATTAAAAATAATCAATATTTTGAAAACTATATCAAAAATAAAAATATCGTTCTCAAACATTATTTTACAATTTTTCCAGATAAAAGTGTGAATAAAATCACAATTAATCATCAAAACCTACAATTTCTTTTGGATTCTGGTGTCTAGTGATGTCTAGTTTCAAAATTAATAAGTTTTGTAAGTATTATTATTATTAAATATTCTACTTATTTATTTATTTTGAAATTTTAAGGTCTGCAGACCAAATACCACGTAATGGCCATGTTTTAGTCATATTTAAACCATCTGGAGTAAAAGGCAGTGATTAAGCTGAGTGAAAAATTGCTAGCTCTACCCCAGCATCAAAACATTTCATGGAAATGTACAAGTGCAAAGATGGCATATTATTTATGACAGTAGGTACAAATGTTGTGAGTCACGAAAGTGGCCGATTTTTTTTTTTTACCTGTAATAGTGTATGATGTTCAAATTTTTTTTTAATAAACAAAACTCATGGGGAACCTCTGAATACCTCAAATAATATATACCAATGTTATTACTTTTTTTTCAATATTTATCATTTTGCAATTATAAACAAAGTGCCTGATACAATTTGCTTCTCAGATTTTTTTTATTTTATGTCATGTTATGAGAAATAGCAATGATGCGAAAAATTTTAATGCAGTGTTTCATAACATAAAAATGTCAAAGTAACATATTCTAAACTAATGGACCTTGTCCTGGTCAAGTCAACTGTGACTCTAGTCAACTTCTAGAGCCTACACTGATATGTCAGGTGTCTTGCCTGTCCTGTAGATCAAATAAACCATTCTGATGATCATGAATAAACAAGCACTGGCACATTTCTGGGTTAAAAGTTACACCAGACATTATTGCCAATAGTCAACCTATAGCACATATCATAACAGTGAAATATGTTTTAACATGAACTCTAATATATATATATATATATATATATATATATATATATATATATATATATATATATATATATATATATATATATATCATACCAGATGAACTTTCTAGGTTGTTTTATATCTGGACCAGCTATTTACTAGAACTTTATCACTCCATTTCATCTAAAGTGCACATCATTATAGCCATTTGGAATACATGTCCTAATTCCAGTATGGACCATTTTTATTTTTTCAGATTTCAGCTGTCAAGACCTATATAACAACAGCAGGATTGCTTTAAGACTGACAGCATTTTAAGTTATTAAAGTGTCATATTTCTCAATGCTGTCCATGTTGGCAACAAAGCAGGTTATGGAAAATGAACATCATTAAACTTAAGTCATATGAAATGCCCTAATTCCAGAATAGACTGTTTTTTTTTCTTCTTCTTCTTTTTCTTTTTTTTTCTTTTTGGATTTCAGCTGTCAAGAACTATATAACAACAGCAGTTTCCCTAAGAATGATGGCATCTTAAGCTATTAAAACATGTCATCTTTCTCAGTGCTGTCCATGTTGACCAAAAAGCAGGTTAATCAATTCTACCTTGGTCATGCAATTTAACAATTTTCAAAAAAAATTCCCCAGGGCATAACTAATGTTTGTCTAAAATTCCATACACAGATTCAGTTATATGGTAAAGATATATGGTTCTGACTTGATCTTTTCAAAGATGAAAATTGTGAACTTTACAGACATTGTCTTATTTAAAGGTCATAATTTCACAAAACAATCTTGAGTGGAAGAAACAAAAATAAACAAACAGGCTACTGTATATAAGTACTACTGTATTCTATGCAATAAAAATCCCACAAATATGCTTAACAGGAATATAAATCTTTATAATTATGTACCTTAATCACTGATAATTTTGACAAGGTTCAGTCATTACTGAATAAGTTTTAAGAGCTTGGAATCTCATATCATTGGGGACTTCCACCAAAATAATCAACAAAATGGAATTAAAAAATATTTTTTTCTCAGCGTTTAAGTACCTAGCACCCTGGTATCATAGTTTTACACCATCCACTTAGTATAAATACATCAATCAGCCCAAGAGACTGAAAGCATATCATTGCAAGTCACCATATAACCAAGGTGTTAACATGACCCACATATCAATAACAAACACACTTACCATCATCTTCAAGTCCATCTTTCCTGGAGAGAGGAAAGAAACAGTCCCCTATCTCAAACCTCTTCATGGTAAATATAAGTGACCAAAATACTAGCAATGAGAGGCAAGCCGGATCTGTGCACTCATATTAAATAACCATAAAATGTTGACTGGTCTACGCACTCCACTGACAGCTACCATAAATAATTACAGCCGGGAGGCGGGCTTTTCTGACAGATATTCCTGATATGGAATTTTCCGCTTCGAGAAAATATAATAGGGTATTTTCCAACAATGGAAGACAATTTAAGCTACATGTATTTCCATATTCTCCATATTGGTCTGAGAATCTGAATTTTTTGGCTTCAATCTGTTTTTGTCTCAAAATCTCTCTTGATGAAATTTTGGCAACAGATGTGTAGACAACAACTTATAATGATAAATGCACCAGGCGATGACTAAGCTATCTTCCGGGTGAATTTTCTCCGCAATTAATGTGTTTGTCCTCACATCTAAGGTGAACCAACTCAACCTTCGGCAGCCAACCCTTCCAAAAGACAATACAAAGTGAGTCTGTGACTTTTTAAAGTTGTCATGAAATCTTGTCACACAAGGAATTTATCTATATAAATTATAGTATTTCTTCAAGCAAATCTGCTTCAAATCTCCACCTCCTTGGAATGAACTTCTGCCACAAAAATGTCTTCTTAATTCAGCCACATGCCTGCTATCGTCAGTTAGTGTGTCCTCAATCAATAAGACTGCGAGGACCCTGTACTGGCCCACTTCCTGCTCAATCCAATACATGCAAACCTCATTACATAACAGTCCTAGAATACACAAACTCAGATTATATAACTTTCAGACTTAATTTGACAAGTGCCCTGAAACTGGCATAGTGCACTTTCAAATGCAGTAGTAATATTGTATTATATAGTAGAAATCTCAACTTAAATCTATTAAAACTCCAGACAGTCTATATGGAATGTGATCTACAGTTTGTAGATTGTTATCCCAAATCATTTACAATAGGACATTATGGCATGTTTGTGTACGGGATTCTTGGTCACCAACAAAAGGGTCACTTTTCACTTCTGCCCTGGATGTGTATCACAAAAGGGACCTGGCAAAAGATGGCCACTTTAAATGCAGGGGGAGGGGGATGGAGTACCTTCAGCTTTCATCAGCTTATTTCTTAACCTTTTGCAGGGAGAAGTGAATTTTAATAAGTGGGAAATAAAACATTAACTTGAGAACAAAATTTTTGTTATGGGGGGTTTGAGCCACGTGTACCTCCCCTCCCCCTCAGCTTTCATCACTTTCTTTTTTTAATCTTCTGCTTATACAAATTTTCATAGGTAGCGAGAAAAATCTTAACTAAAGAACATGCAATTATTTTTTGTTACAGGCGAATTCTTGATTCTTTTATCCAAGTTTTAAAGCTTTTTTGTTTAGAGTACCAGTAGAATTAAATCTTTTTGTTAAATGGACATACTACTGTCTTCCTTTACATTTTGTCTCCACTTAGTAAATATAATATAAATTATACATATCTAAGAATTTGTCTTTCTGTTTATTTTAAAATTAAAATGGATATCAGAAGGCAATTCAACTCATTTTAAGTGTATAAAAATAACACTGGCTTGTATTGTTAATAAATCCACAGAAAGTAAGAAATAATCTTATTAAATCAGTTTCATAAATAACAGGCTTAAAAACATAAAAGAACTATTTATTACCAGTCTGTTCAAATTAGTACTAAATTCTTCTAGAGCTGGATGGAGATAGAGAACAGTGTGTTAGGTGTGATATTGTTCTAAAAACCTCTCCTCTACCACAATTCTTCTCTCTGTATGGTAGAATACTGGTTGTGGCATGACCAACAACTGAACACTGCTGACCAGGTAAAAGAGAAAAGAGGTGTTCGAAAATAACACATAGCCTTATGACCAATGATGCACTGCAGTTCTGCCAAAATTTTACTGCACAACCAAAAACTCATGCAATTATCATAGACAGAATCCTTTATGCACATATTCTAAGGGCGCATCCCCATAGATTTTAGATCGATCTATCCCCGTGGGGAGTCTCACTAGATTACTGTCAGATAATCCGGCTTAAATGTCTGTCCCGCCTACTACAAGCTGTAAGGGTGTAATTAACTTTCGTGTCCGCTCGGCTGACAGCTATTTAGCGTGAACCCCCAGGGAGTTAGGTCGATCTAGTTGGATCGATCTAATCTCTGGGAATGGGGTCTAAGATACCAGGGCCCCCTAACTGGACAGCATCGTGCATTGCCACCGAGCGCAAGTGTTTCTATTCCATAACTCGCCCATACTCGCCCCATAAAACAATACACTGTAGCCTCTATGTGATATCGTTATTCGCAATAAGCGATGCCTTTGAGTTACAGGCCTTGGTCAAATAAAATTTTATGACATTACAAAGGGTTAAATTACCATTTATAACCAATTTTTTTACTCCACAAAGCACATATCACCTGACCACATCTTACCAGCAGACAGTCCTAGCAGTGATGTTTGCACATCTCTTAAAAATATGTACCCCAGTACTCACTAATGTCAAACACCTCAACTACATGTATAACAAGACATTTTTATAAGTAGTACATATTTTTTCAATACTTCATCATGTCATGGTGCATTCCCAGAGATTTAAATCGATCCAGAGATGTAGATTTACATGGACCTAACTCCCTGGGGGTTCACGCTAAATTGCAGTCAGCCGAGCGCGCTCCATAGTTAATTACCCCCTTACAGCTTTTAGCAGGCCGGACAGAAGCTTAAGCCGGCTAAGCTGAGAGTAATCTAGTGAGACTCCCCACAGGGATAGATCGATCTAAAATATATGGGAATGGGGTCTTAGTCATTACTTTAAGGTGCCCATCTGATAGGGGGAAAGGTGTGCACGAAGATAAACAGGTAGGGAATGCCCACAATGAATTCGGAAAACGAAAGATAGGCCAACATATAGATAATCGAGATTGTATTATGTTGAAGTATCAAAATGCCAACCCTTCAAACCAATCAAAGCAACGGAAAATGGGTCACGTGATCACTTAACCTATATCTGATAGATGTAAACAATAAATTTCCACGCGAAGCTTGCAGATTTTATAGAAGATTCCAAAGCGTTGTTTCAATAAAAAATAGTCCTAGGTTTTTAAAATCAAAACTGAGAGAAAGGTTAAAGAAGTTGGAGAAATACATGTATTTATGTAACTTGCTAAATGATGACATGAACTTACGGCAAAATGATACACTGTACAGCCCTTGTGTACCATATCACTTTTACTATAATCGCACAAGGACACACTTCTTCGCTATATAGTGATACTATCACCTATGTTCTGTATTGTTACACTGAATGCAGTTAAATTATCAAGTGTGTCAAAGTGCATATAAACACTTCAAATTGGTTGACTTAAAATTGGTTAAATTGATAAATACAGTATAAATCCATTTGTAGATTTTTTGCAATCTATGTATCATACAGGCTGTCTGTTTATGCAGCTGCAAGTTGCTCAAGAAATTATTTCAAAAATATGTAAGTGCTTGCAAAAGGTCGAATAATAAAGGTTTTCATATTCAAGTTTATCTTAAATTGCAGAGGTTCGATTTAAAAGAAGTTTATTGTAATTAATTGCACCACTGTCTAGCAACAACAGCATATCAAAAGAATTAACAGCTCACAGTCAGCAAGGCTTTTATTATATATATATATATATATATATATATATATATATATATATATATATATATATATATATCCAACTTAATTATTTCGCCTGTGAAAATATAACTTTCTGTGTTACTAGTTCACATTATTTACAAATATTTATCAGAGTCAATCAATGTCATCTTCATCTTCTGATCCAGTAACAGCCCTTTTTCTTCCAGATTTGTTAGTGCAATAATTGCAACCACAAACATCAGTGCATGACAATTTATATGCACGACATGAACAGCTTTTGGAAGCACATTTAGAAGCTGAACATTTGCAACTAACGGATAGGAAAACACTTTCAGGGGCTGGGTCCTGCGTCGTCCACTTTACTTCAAGGCCTGCGTAATACACAGTTTTCAGGTTTTCTCCATTCAGATGTTGTGGGTGTCTCCTCTCTGTGAAGGCTGCGTCAGTTTCTGATGATGTCATCCCTTCAAATAAGCTTTCTAATCTCTCTTCTACATTACCAGCTTCAAGGGGTCCTAGGTATACCAAAGTACTACTGGACTTTGACGATAATGTGTGGAATGTAAGCTGAGGAAAGTTGGTCATGAGGCGAGCTTTTAACTGGCTACTTCTGAAATTACAAAAGAAATCAACTTTACAGAAAGATGGAAAGTAAAATACCTAAATCTAATATCAAACAGTCTGCATTTATGCTCAGTTGACTTCCATAACAAAACATATATTTATCATATTTTTGTGATACTTTCTGGGGTAGCGCTAACACTAGCCAATTTAGCCAAATGCTAAAACTGACTTAAATTGGCTAAAGAAAAAGGGCTTGATTTGACATGTTTTAGCCAAATTATAACCATTTTGGTAACAAATTGACAGAAATGTGGTGATTTGGCTAAGCGAAAAAAACCTGCTAGCGCCACCCCAGACTTTACTAACATATAGCCCAATAGAATACCTACTGAATTAATATAAAACCATAAAAACTCCCTAGTGAATCATAAGCCAACTTAAGTTAACTTAAATTGTGGTGATATCCGACTTACCTGTAGTCGGATGCATCTACAGACTCGAATTTCATGACATAATTCTTGAAATATTGTAGCAGTTGCGTCATCCTTAGCACCGCCTGACCTTCAATAATTCTTTTTTGCACAACTTCTTTGCAAAAGTGCTGATATGACTTTGTGTATGGATGTCTTTCTCTGAAAATATAAAAAAATATGTAACAGTGACATTATAAAAGTTTTAACTTTCTAAAAGCACATTTCTTTTTCATATGAAATCAAGCAAATAGGGTTTTAAAGGGATTCCAACTTACATGTTCGTAAATTATTTTCAGAATACATACAAATGCCCACGTTTACTTGCACTCAACTCTGAGCTGTTCAATGTTTAAATGAAAAATTCAGAAAAAAAAGTAGTTCATACATACACATTGGCTGCTTCTGGCGTGTCCTGCTTTACAGGACGAGTATACTCTTTATAACACGAGTGGTGGTACCTGACCCCAATAGCCGCACAATCTTTATCCCTTATATGCATCAAGATGCTTTCATCTTTTTTTCTCTCTGCTGTTTTCCTTAAAGAGCCTGCAAAACAGAACATTAACAATTTTTTTTTTACCTGATGTATTTCATAACCAGTGTAACTACCACAATCAATAATAAATTCACTAAAATCAGTATTTGATTCAGAAATGTAACAAAGTGATATTCCAGCCAATCATAACCATTTCCACTAATATAATCTAACACCCCATTTCCATAGATTAGATCGACCTACTTTAGATCGACCTAACTCCCTGGGGGTTCACGCTAAATAGCTGTCAGCCGGGCGGACACTAAAGTTTATTACCCTCTTACAGCTTGTAGTAGGCGGGACGGACATTTAAGTCGGATTATCTGAAAGTAATCTAGTGAGACTCCCCGCGGGGATAGATCGATCTAAAATCTATGGGAATAGAGCCTAAATTACTGAAATGTGACCAAAGAAATATAAGCTTACCACCATCAAGAGTTTCTGCACAGGATAATCTGTCCCTTTCTCTCTTCCCTCGTACCTTGATGTATCTATCCTTTTTTTTACAAATAATGCAGATGGGCGAAAGCACTGGTGACTTTGATACGCCAAGCCCTGAGACTGATCTCAACATCTTCGGAGATGGACCTTGTATTTTGGGACGAGTTGTACTACTGGTAGATGGATCTGTAAAACAAGCAAAATGAAATTTTACATTTTCATCCCGTACATACAAGTTCATTATAATGTGACAGATACTGACTACTATAGAAACAACTTTATCCAAGCA